ATAATCCGGTTTACAAGTCCGGAGTCGAATCCCACAGAGAACTAAGGTTTAGCTACATCTGTTCACTATCACCAAGAAGACAAGCTTGAACAATTCCTAACTTATAGATATTAAGATTCTTGTGCTTAACTACTTAACTAACAAATTAAAATAGTAATTTAACAACTAAAGATACTGAGGGTTAGAGAAAAGATTAAGGAGGTCTAGAGTTATGATTTCCCCAATTGTCGGAATCCTTCCCGCTATGTCTTCTATAATTTCGCCTAAGTATTCTCTACCGATCATGAGCACTCTTATTACCGTAAATCTCTCCCGAGTAATTACGAGAATTTACTAGACGCACTCTTCCGAGCTACGCTAGCTGGCTTTTAATACATCTCACTTCAGATTGCACCCAAGGCTTCGTTATCCCTAATCCCGCCTTTAAACCCTCGGTTATTGATCCCTCATATACTCTGGGAGTGGTGTTGTTCAACAATTACCTAAATATGCACTCTCTCCCGAGTTATGCATACTAAATAGGCACAGCTAATTGAGAGCTCTTCAATCAACCACAATATAAACGTAGTTGAACAAATAGAGAAAAGCTATGGCTCAATTATATAAAAACATAACAAGAATTTATCCTACAAAAGGTTCTATCAAAACTCTAGATAACAAATTAGCTATTCATAATAGTATGTAAAACTACAATACTAAAAGTCATAACCAACAATGAGAAATAGGAAGAGAAAGGAAAAACTTGTAAAAGAATTCTCCGCCTTGCTCCCAATGTGTTCTTGCCTCCAAGGGTGTTGTCTAACCCTAAAGTAGTGTCTCTCCGCCTCCTTAGCTCTAATTTGTGTCTCAAAATATGTCCCCTTCTTGTTCTAGGCCGGCCTCCTTTGTTTTATATAGGGTTTAGGACTTAAAATCCCATGTTTTACACTTTAGCCCCTGAAATTTACGCTTCCCACCGCGGTTTCACCGCGATCGCGGTGGAACCGCGGCAAAACGCCCTCGCGGATTCTTCATTCTTCAGAAACTGCCTTCCACCGCGGTTCTGCCGCGGTTCTGCCGCGGTCGCGGCAAAACCGCGGTTTTTCACCCTGTTTCGTTTGGAATTTGGGAAAACGTAAAACATGAAAGTTGTAGCCCTTTGAGTTAGCTTTCCAACCATATATTGTGGAGCCCAAATGGAGTTCTGAGCAAAAAGTTATGTCTATTTTACTAGACAGTGCGCAATATGCCTCCTCAAGCCTTCGTTCGTACTTAATTATCAATTTTGACCCCCGAACACGATCCCGGCTTAATTCCTTGAGCTTTTACTCAGACTTCAAAGCTTCAAATCACTTAAATTCATTCCATAACATCTATATAGCTCGGAATCACACCTACAAGGCATAAAACACACAATTAGTGCAAAACACTAGCGATTAAAGCGCAAACTCAATTAAAGTGCAGTAAATTCGAGTGTAATAAGCGACTAAAATATGCAATTATAGCCTATCATCAATTATACCTCGATTTGAATCATCTTGATCCAACTCATTTTGATCCAAGCAAACTTTGAGCAGGTTGAATTGGAACCTATTTATTGCTTTGACCCGTTTTAATCCGTACAAATTTTACCCAATTTGTTTATTTGTCACCTTTTTATTTGAACGTCAGAAGAGATGTTGGCTAATTTTGTCCTTTGAGTTTCTATGTACGATTATGTGGTTCTTTGCTCCTAGATTTTTTCTACTTCTGACAAGTTTTATTGATTTCAGTTTTACCACAAAAAAAGAGCAAAAAACTTGCGCGGAAAAATAATCTTATCATCTCAGGTGCTATTCTTAATTTTCTTTTTCCGTAATCCATTATTGTCTTAATTATGTTTTGGTTATTATATGGAATTCGAATCTAAGTTCCTGCATTTTACAATGACTGTCAGCGCATTGATGAAGAGCAAGTGTGCCAGCTTCAATGCTTGGGTTTGAATCTCCTTACACACATGTTGTTTAGTGTTCGATAGAAACTTTAGCTATGTAGAATTTGGACCGATAGAGGTAAAGAATATAGTACCATGAAAAATATGAAGTTAAGAAAGTCTTGTAGTCTAGATAGCATTCCTATAGAGGTTTGAAAGAGTGTCTTGAGAAGGTTGGAGTAGTATGGCTTACTAAGCTATTTAATATCATACTAAGAAGCAGTAGGATGCCCGAAGAGTAGAGGAAGACTACTCTTATTTCAATCTACAAAAATAAATAAATGAGATATTCAAAGTTATATGAACTATCGTGACATTAAACTCATGAGTCATACAATAGAACTCTCAGAAAGAGTGATAGAGCGTAGACTTGGAAACATGACAAGAGTGGCAAAGAATTATCACGACCCGGAATTCTCACTTTTGGGGCCGTGATGGCGCCTAACATTTCACTTCTAGGCAAGCCAACATTAGAGAAATTCTTAAGCCAGTTTTTAAACAATTCAAATAAGTGAAACCAATTAAACTGATATGAAACTAAAGCGAAGGACGAAGTGGCATAATAACCAATAATATCTAAGTACAACCCGAATCTGGAGTCACAAGTACACGAGTTTCTAGAAGTTCTACAAATAAAGTCTGAAATAAGTACAATTATCTCGAATAAAATGAACAGTAACTAAGGAAAGAGGAAAAGGACTTCAAGGTCTGCGGACGCCAGCAGATCTACCTCGAGTCTCCAAGTATGCCAATCCGAGCTGATGCACCTCACGTACAGTTGGGACAAGTACCAAAATCTGCAAAAGAAGTGTAGAGTAAATCTGAGTACAACCGGCCCAATATACTCCGTAAGTATCGAGCCTAACCTCGACAAGGTAGTGACGAGGCTATGACAGTACACTCACTTAATTTAACCTGTACGAACAAAAATATATGTGCAACATAGTAACAAATAAAGAATAAATATGTAAAATTAGGAGGGGACATGCAATCGAGGAACAAGGTATGATAATTACAACAGGAATGACAACACAAGACATTCAAATAAATCCTCAGCCAATAAAAACGAATAAGCATAATGAATAAAGATGGCATGTGCCATCATCCATTGTGCTTTTACTCTCAATCTCACCATAAAATAATAATAGTGGCACGACATCACCCTTCGTGCTTTTACTCTCAATCTCTTTATGAAACAACAAAATACGGCACGACATCACCCTTCGTGCTTTAACTCTCTTTCTCACCATGCATTAATCAGTAAATGAAATAAATAACGGTACGACATCACGCTTCGTGCTTTAACACTCTCCCTTACCATGTGGTAATGAATATAAAAATAAACACGAATAAACCTTCGGTCAATAATGGTTCCGAGATACCAATCCTCGTTTTCAAAGAAATACTCAACCGTCACAATTTAATTCATAAATGCGGAAAGAATGATCAAATAAGGAATGAACTAATCTAAGCATGGATATCATAAGTAAAGAAGGCAATAAAGTACAAGAAACAAGTCCCACCCGCATGTTTTAACTCAACCACAACGCATAAGTACTCATCACCTCACATATACGTTGTACCGAAACAATTAAACACGTAGCAAATAGGCAAACAAGCCCTAATTCCTCAAGTCAAGGTTAACCACGATACTTACCTCACTCCGCAGTCAACTCAGAGCTCTATCGGGGCCTTTCCTCTAGAATCCGCCTCCAAACTACTCGTATCTAACCACAATCGACTCCATAACGTCAAATAATGCTAAGGGAATCAACTGCAATACATAAAGATAGGATTTTTACACTTTTTCCAAAAAGTCAACCCCGGGCCCGCTTGGTCAAAACCCGAGGTTCGGATCAAAACTCATTTATCCATTCATCCTCGAGCCCGTAATGTAATTAGTTTCGAAATCCGATCCCAAATTGAGGTCTAAATCCCGAATTTACAAAAACTCCCAATTCTTCCTAAATCCCTAGTTTTCTACCATGGAAGAACAAAGATTAAGGCTAGAAATTAATGGGTGATATTAGAAATGGAAGAAAATAAGTTAAAGTGTACAAACCTATGAATTGGTGATGAGTTTTCCCTTCAAAATCGTCTCTAGGCCGAGCTCTAATGGAAGGTTTATGAAAAATGGGAGAAATCCCGTCTTTGAAACTTTTAAATCACTGGGCGTCAGGTGTTCATCGCGTTCGCGAAAGGCACTGCCCATGTGGCTTACGCGATCGCGAATTACGCTCGCGTAGTCTTAGCCCCCTAGCCTTCGCATATGCAAGCTTGGGCTCGTGTTCGCGTAGAGTAAGTTCATTTCCCAGCCCCGCCTATCTAACACTACGCGTTTGCGATTGAGTGGTTGCGTTCGCGAAGAGCGGACTCCCTCACTGGTCCGCATTCGCGACCGTTGGCTCGCGTTTGCGATGAATGGAATCCTCCCCAGTCCCAGATTTCCCTTCACGATCACGAGAAAGGCTTCGTGATTGCGAAGCACATGACACCAGATACAACAGAAGCTCAAGAAACCAGAAATTTTCAAAGTCCGAAACACCCGTAGCCTATCCGAAACTCACCCGAGCCCTCGGGATTCCAAACAAAATATGCACACAAGTCCAAACACATTATATGAACTCGCACGTGGGATCAAAATACCAAAATAACACATAGAACTACGAATCGGACACCAAAACAAATAAAATTTTCAATAAAACATAAGAACTTTCATTTTTAACAATCGGGCGTCCGAATCACGTCAAATCACTTCCGTTTTGCACCAAATTTTGTAGACAAGTCATGAATACCGTAATGGACCTATACCAAGTTTCGGAACAGAAATCGGAGCCGGTATCAACAAGGTCAAACATCGGCCAAATTTATAAATTCTGTAAACCTTTAAATTTCAAATTTTCAATAAATTGCGATAACTCGAGCTAGGGACCTCTGAATTCGATTCCAGGCACACGCCCGAGTCCCAAATCACAATCCGGACACACTAGGACCATCAAAACACGGATCTGAATCTTTTTGCTCAAAACATTGACCAAAGTCAACTCAAATAGCTTTTCTTCCGTATCTAGGGTTTTTCTTTGGAGCTTGGCATCTCTTTCAAACTAAAGCAGCCGCAGCCGCAGCCGCACTGTACCGAAAGCAGTGAAACCCTAGCCATGTCGCTGGTTGCAAACGAAGAGTTTCAGCACATTCTTCGTGTGCAAAACACGAACGTTGATGGAAAGCAGAAGATCATGTTCGCTATGACCTCTATCAAAGGTATCGGTCGCCGTTTTGCTAACATTGCTTGCAAAAAAGCCGATATCGACATGAACAAGAGGGCCGGAGAACTCTCTGCTGCAGAGCTTGACAGCTTGATGGTGGTTGTGGCTAATCCTCGCCAATTCAAAATCCCAGATTGGTTTTTGAACAGGCAGAAGGATTACAAGGATGGCAAGTTTTCTCAAGTTACATCTAATGCACTTGACATGAAACTCAGGGATGATCTGGAACGGCTGAAGAAGATCAGGAATCACCGTGGTTTGCGTCACTACTGGGGCCTTCGTGTACGTGGTCAGCACACAAAGACCACTGGCCGCAGGGGGAAGACAGTTGGTGTCTCCAAGAAGAGATAAATTATCTACTTGCCAGTTCCTATATGTTTTATGCTTCTCTTTAGTATGTGGAGTCCAAACACTTGCAGGAGGTTTATTAGGTATTTTGTTATGTTTGCACTGAAATTTTCTTGTCTTGCCATTTGGAGGGTTATAGTTCGTATAAATCCTCTGATAGCGTTGCAAGCAAAAAAAAAAAAAAAAACGAAAAAGAAAAAAAAGTAAAAAACGAACTAACTAACTAAAATTTAAAATTTAAGTCGACAAATTAAACTTTTAACTTTTA